CTCTACTTATGGGCCTCGGGTTGACCCAAACTACTAACCCGAGATTTAAGGAGTTACAATTATATTCAATATTTATAATAAATATCTTTTAAAAAATGTATTGATTAGTGAAGAATGATTTGTATATCATCATCCAAACACCTTAAAAATGATTTTCAAAAACTGTTTTCTAAGAAATGAAATTCATTTCTCAACTTTAATTAATATTAAAGAAATATACTTTTTAAATATAAGAATATTCATAATTTATTTTTACATTTGTAGAAATATTTTTAATTATAGTTTGGAAATTATTTTATGAACCATAAAATTTTAATAAAATTCGTCATATTTCCTATTACTTATATTCTCATCATCCCTCCAATCTACAATAAATTTGGTATAAACTACACATTTATTACTTAAACTATCAATTTTGGCTCGTTTTAGTACCTAAAATTTTAATTTTTTTTAAAATCGTACCTAACATTTAGTTTTTTGTTTCATTTTATTACCCCGTCGTTACAAACTTAACGTGTTTAGTACCTAACTATCAATTTTGGTCCATTTTAGCGCCTAAACTTTTTTTTTCAAAATTTAACATTAAATTTTGAATGGGTACTGAAATGGAACAAAAAAAACTAAACGTTAAGTATGGTTTTGAAAAAAAAATGAAAGTTTAGATACTAAAACAGATCAAAATTGATAGTTTAGGTACTAAACACGTAATTTACCCTAAAGTTTAATAATCCATGTTTTATATTTTTATATTTTTGTCTTATCTAAAACTTTACAAAATCTAATTATTTTAAGGTATATGTTATATTTAATCATGTGAATTGCCTGTCCATCTCAGTTGGTAGAGCAATAGGCTCTTAACCTTGGGGTCGTGGGATCGAGTCCCACGGTGGGCAATTCATAATTCGGAGGTCTCTCACGGAAGCTGCTCTCAACCTGGTGTTGGGGGCAGCCTACTATCATACCTCCCCCTTACCCCATTATATATGGGAATAAGGGTCAGCTAATTTTTTATATTTAATCATGTATCAATATTCAATAAATATAATGAATTATTACAATTAATTTCTGAATAGAAAAATAAAATAAAAATAACTAGCATAAAGATTGAATCTGTAACGTTCCGAATCCTGGGTTAGTAGTTCAGGTCAACCCGAGACCTATAGATAGAACCCAAAAGACTTATAAGAGTAGTTTGAACCTATTTATGTTGGTTTTGGGCTTGAGTTGGGCCCAAGTGGTGGAGATATGGGATGAATTGATTAAATATTATAGAAAATAGGGACCAAAAGTGTAATTTTCCCATGGCTTGAATTTAAAGATGGAAACCCCTTTTATTTTAAGTGATCACATGTGAAAACCATTCCCCATTACCTTACCAAATAATCTTCTTCTTCTTCTTCTTCTCTTCTTTTTCATCTTCTTCTTCAAAGATAGTGTAAAGGTGAAAGCTTTAAGAGTTTCAAGATTGGTTTTTTACCAAAGGTAAGAGCATTAATCTTCATCCTTCAAACTTCATTTTAAGCCTCATATATCAAGTTTTAGGCTTGGGTTAAAAAAATGAGTTTTAGGGAGGTTTAATGATAATCAAGTGATTCTAGTATATTTTGGGGGATTTAAGTTATAAGGAGTCTTCTTAACCTCAATACAATCATTTATTTTAGTGATTCATTTTCTTTCCTTGTTTAGTGAAAGAAGTTGGGGAGAGCTCAAAAGCTAGAGGAAAAGAGATATTAACTCTTGGTTGATTTTGGGAGAGTTTCCAGTAATTAGAACATCAAGGTAACACGTTTACAACCTTTTCATACCATTTGTGAATCTTTAAAATGCATTCAAGCTAGAAAGTTAATTTGTGAAGCATGTATGATCATCCATGGTAGATCCTAGCTTTTGATGTTAATTAACTTGTACAAAACCCTTTTATGATCCATTCTTTCTTGAATAAAATTATAATAATCATTTGGAAATGTTAGGATGGTTTTGTAAGGGTTTTAAAGTGTTTTAACATGCATAAATTTCAAGTTACAGAAGAGGTTTTAAAACGCTCTTTGGGTGGTTTCGAAATCATTTGCCATAATGTAAAAATTCATAGAGGTTTCGAAACCCTGGCCAGAATGCAATTTGATGCTGAGGTTTCAAAAACCCCTATCTGAAAATGGCCAAATAGGCCTAAAATGGTACATGGATGGCCGTGGACTTATAGTATGCTTCTAATTGGGAAAACTTCCAATAAAATTACAAGTGATAACAAGAATAATGTTAATTACAATTAGAAACTAGACAAATTAGGGCGACATAAAACTAGCCTTGTTTGAATACTCAAGAAATGATTAGGACTCTTGAGTTACTTTAGTATGTGATAATAGAATCAACCCGAATATCCTTAGGAAGTGCGCGAGGAACTTTAAACTAACTAACTAGTGCGCATGGTCTGACACTCGCAAGGGGTGGGTTAATCGAGGGTGTTGTGTCCGATGTAGAGTTTCGAGCCTTATCCATGATAGACTAGGGGGTTCGTGAGCTCTGAGATGTAGAACACTCAGCCGTACCATGATGTCTACCATAGAGTAGAGAGTGGGTGTACGAGTATACTCACTGATGCATTGGATTTGATGGTTGAGCATTTATTGAATACTATTAGTATGATTTATTTGTTAGTGTGGCACTGGGCTAGTAAGCTCAGCATTTGGAATTTGTTTGCTTGCACATATTAGTAGGTGGAGCCTTTGAGAAGCCTTTTTGAGCAGTCGAGATCCAGATCGAGTTTAGAGCAGAGTATGTCTCAAGTATTTCTTTAGAGGGAATGTATATTTATAGACCCTTTTGTATATTTGAGTCGTAATTTATTTGAAAAGTTGGTCTGTATATTTTTGATATTCTTATTTTGGAAGTTCCCCGATGTAAATACTTTATTTATATTTTATGGATGAACTTCTTTATTGAAATGTTTTTAAATCAGTCATTTTTAAATCAAGGAATTTAGGAAAATTTTGGGTTAGCCACTCTGGTGGTTCCGTGTGGCATTCTAATCGGTCGAATGTGTGTCGTATTGGTTTAGGGTGTTATAGAATCAATCTACCATCAAGTAATTGGTCTAGCAGGATGAGGCACTAGATCCCTTAAGCAAGGTCAATGGTTTAAACCCTTGCGTTTGCAATAGAGCAAATTGTGTTGGCATGGTCGCATTTATCTATAAATAAAAATATTATTATTTAATATTATTTATGTTAATATTATTATTGAAATATTATTTCTACAACTTTATAAATAAAAATTATAAGACTAATATATTATATTGAAATAAAAATATTATAAATTATATAAATTATTTATTAAAATAAGAATATTATATTATATTTTAGTAATAACTATTAATAAATATATTTTTATTATTTTTATTAAAATATTATTAGAATATTATATTAATATTAAATACATAAATAGAATCATTCAATATTAATAATTCAATAATATCATTTTAAAAAAAATTAATAAATAATATAATTTTATTAATATTTTGTTATATATAACTAAAATAAGATTATAATATAATTGAACATATTATTATAATATTAAAAAATTATAATATCATATTATTAATAAATATATTTTAAATATTTTAATGATTAATATTTTTATTAGAATGATTCTAAAGTATTATACTAATATTTCTATAAAAAAATATTAAATATATAAAAAAATATTATTTTAAATATTTATGATTCAAAGTAAAACGTTAAAAAAATGACTTATAGAAAATAAGATTGTAAATTATTTTTCAAAAAAAAAGATGAAAAAATAGGTTGACCAGACAAATGTTTACATTGATCAATCTATTTTTTACCCACAAAACACTAAAATATAAGAAAAACGTTATCCAATTTTTTCTTCTAAACAAACATACCTTAAAATAACGTAAGACTTAAACACATAGCCTAAAGACTCCAAGATCTCCTTCAAACTTCAATAATATAACCAAACCTCGACATCTCTCTGTCATGTATCAGTAACGGAACACTATAATTTCTTTTGAAGTACAATACAATCTCAGTTGTTTAGACCTAAAACTCGAAAGAACTTTTAGTAAACTATTCATTAAAGCAATAATAATCCCTATAATTATTGATAAGTAGAATGACATAAAATTATGAATATCATTAAAACTATCTTCTCTGTGAATCATTTTTTGGACAATGGAATCTGTGAAAAAATTAAGTGCAAGAAAAATCAACTCTCTCCCTATATATATTTTATGATTATTTTGTCTTTATCTCAACGAACATATCAAATCAGGAATTCCTTTTATTTTTCTGGTATTCAATCGGATTAGAATATATATAATATCACAATAATAGTAGAAATTGAAGTATTATTTTCTTTTCTATTCTAGACAAAACTCCAAACGGCCTAATGACTTTTATCAATTCTTTTCTGTATAGGTTTGTTATAAATATAAATTCAAAATTGAGTATAATTTTTCTTCTACTGTTCATCTTCTTATGTTCATAGGCATTTCATATTTTACACATCCCATATATATTATATGGAGTTAGATAATAATCAATAATTTATTATTAAAATAATATAAATATGATAGGATAGAATAAAAGGAAAAGGAGTCAAAGTGATATAATACAAAAAAAAATAACCAAGTTCTTTTTTTATTCTATCTAAAATAAAATAGGAATAATTAGAATTAATTATTACGAGTTAATTAAATTTAATTCAATTAATAATATTATTAAAATAACAATTAGAAAAGCTCATTAAATAGTCTTTGATAGTAAAAAAGAATATTATTAATAAGTCTTGAGTTTGAACAATTATATTTATATGATACGTACATATTTTTAATTAATTAATAAAAATTCTAAATAAATATTATCTTATAAACGCATCAAATTATTAAAAAAAATTAATATTCTTTAATTTATAGATATAAATATATCTCAATTATATAGTGGAACAACAACGGAGGCATTCAAGAGGAGACATCATTCTTCAGTGGCGGTGGCTACCACCACAAACAGTGCACTAACATTGTGATCCATTTACCCCTTTCTCATCTCCGGCAGCCAAATCATCAACAGTTCTGAACAATCCATGAAGCAAAACAACCGTCAATCCGAAGAAAACGCCGGTCATGATATTATTCATCAAGTCGGTTAGAAAAACCATGGCGATGGTAAACAACGTCAGGACCGTGATGATCGTGCTACGATCGATCACAAAGCCGTAAATCAAAAGCGGATTGTCGCGCAGAAAGTACTGCAAAAGCCAAGCCCCCGCTATGATAGCGATGATGATCAGCGAGACGGGATGCAAGAGCAGGGTGAGGAATAGAAGAAGGGCGACCACGATCACGTAGTTCGTCTTGAAGAACACGACGTTGGTTTGGATTCGTCGGGCGGCTTCATTTACGTTGGGGGGTAAATTTAAGGCATGGATCTTGATCATGTCTTCCCATTTTCGTCGCGACCCGACAATGGAACCGATCTGTTCTCGTGCTTGGAGAATCATGCTCAACGACGGCCGTGGCAGCTCTGCTGGAATGGTTCCGTATGTTGTCATTTTTTTTTGTTTTTTGGTTGAAACCTTGATATGCAGAGAACTTTGGCCTTGAGGGGCTAATGTCAAATGAACAAGAATGAGGGATGACAAGATGATTAAAGGGAAAGATTAGATTATTTGTAATTTGCTAAATTTGAGGTAAGCTTGAATGCAACTAAATATAACATATAGGTGGATTTTGTTCTTCAATTTAATGGTGAAAGGTAATCCCATCTTTGTTAAGTACTTTCAGATTGAGCGTTAGATCAAGTTGTTTTCCAATCTCATTCATGCAGTTATTTTTAAATGACAATCGTTCTAATATTTGAATCTCAACTCACATTCATAACTTTATTCTTATCCTGCATTTACAATTTACAATATGTGCGCTAAAAATCATTAATTTATCTGGTATTTTAGACTAAAACAACTAGAAACGGATTTGTCTTTAAATGTTTTTATAAAAGCAAAGCGCTGATGCGGTGTCTACACACTTGTTTGGACCTTTGCTACATTCGCTCTGATATTAAGTTTAAAAAGTAATATATAAACAATTGAAGAAATCAATAATCAGTCAATATAGGATATTGCTTTTTTACATTATCAACATTCTTCATTGATGTAAAATTAAGTTGTATAAAGATAAGAAAAAGAACAACAACAAAAATTGGTTGATTTAGCATTAGTATACGTGATATTTGAACCGATGCATAATAAAATTAAGTGACTTTTCTCTTAATAAGTGAAAAATCTTAAACTCGACAACATAGAACTAATATCAGTTACAACTGAGTTTCATGATATTTTAACAATTTATCAAATATATTTTGAAATGTTAGTAACTGTTTTAATAAGACAACCCGACGTATATTGGTGATTTTATCAATTCTGTCTCAAAATAAATCATTTAACTTAAGACTATAAAATCATTAAGAGAATTTAGTAAGTTCATCCACTTTAAATAAATTTGAAGAATTCATCGGTTTTTTTCCAAAAAGAACAACTCAAATATTAGACTATAAATTTATTAAGAGCAATGCCAAAACTCATAATTAGTAGTATACAAATTACACCATAAAGAAAAACTTATATATACACAATGAGTCTTTCATGATTTAATTTGACCATATTGAAACTAAAGAATTATGTCAAACATTTAGGGATGTAAAAAGCTGACCCAATCTGTAAAATTGACTGGAACTGCCTTGAGTCAAAATTGTTTGGGACTCGAACGGTGGTGATCTAAAACTGATTTGAGTCTGAATTGGTGTTGATCTGAAACCGTGTTGGACCTGGGAATTGTGTACCTGCACCAGATCTAAGAATGACCTGAACCCGAATTGAACTGATAATATGATAACCGAACCCGACCTACATCCGACTGATATGAACCCTATAACACCCCAAACTCAGGTTAGTATCTTGGGTTATCTCAAAACCCAAAACTTGAGCCCATTAGACTTCCTAAGATAGTTGGGATCATTTAGAAAGGATATTGGGCTTAAGTAAGGCCCAAGAGTTAGGAGAAATGATGGTTTTAAAAGTGAGATAGAAGGAGAAGGATCAAAAGTGTAGTTTACCCTTTTTGTTAAAGCTGATATCTTTCCCCCTCATTTTTATATCATTCACGTAAACCAACCCTCCCCATAATATCTCACATATTCTTCTTCTTCCTTCCATTCATTTTCATTTATTCTTCTTGTAAAAAGTCAAGTTCAAGCATTCAAATCTTAGATTGGTTTTAAGTATTCAAAGCTTTGTTTTAGAATTAGTTTTCAAAATGAGTTTTATGGAGGTTAAGGGGATCCATGAATCTAAGCTTTGTTTTAGGGTATTCAAGTTACCTAAGCATCTCAAGATTTAATCCAATAGCTTAGTTGGTTTAGTAAATCCCTTTTCTTATATTTGTTTAGTAAGGGAGGTAGGAGAAAACTCTAACAAAAAGAGGGAAAAATAAGTTGCCCCTTGGTTAACTTGAGAGAGTTTCTAGCAAGCAGAAAGCAAGGCAACACACTATCAACTCTTCCATCCTCCTAGTGATCTTTAGAAATGAGTTCTAGCTTGAGAGTAAGTTATGAAGCTTAGTGTTATATGTTAATGGTGGATTACATAATTTATGTTATAAGCATGATATAAAGCCTTATTTATGCTCCTTGTAATCACACAAGACTTTAAAGAATGTTTGGGGACCTCACTATGGTCTTTGGGATTGAAATATAACATTTTCGTAGGTGTTTTATGACTTTTACATGTAGAGTATCGATACTATAGAGATAATATCGATACTTGTTCTTTGTTTTGGGCAAATTCGTGAGTTTCTAGGAAAGAGTATCAATACTCTTTCAAGAGTATCGAAACTTTGGGTCGTAGTTTCGAAACTCATAGAAAGTTTCGAAACTGGGCATAACAAAATGTTTAAAAGTATCGACACTTATATAAAGTATCGAAACTTTCGCAAGGGTATCGATACTATTGGGCTAATATTGTCACTTTCAGTCTGTTTTGGCCAAACGTTTCCCAAGAGGTCCTAAACCCATAGTATAAACATATATGGGATCAAATAGGTGTAAAACACTAGAATAAGTGTTATAGAAGGTTTTTAAAGTTGGGTTAAAATGAATGAAATAACTATAGGGGTATCAATACCTTAGGTAGGGTATCGATATTACAGAGAGGGTATTGATAATTTAAGGTCAGTATCGATACCAAGGGTATGGTTTGAGCTTTAAAGCACGAGTAAGTGTAGAGGCAAGTGAGGGTATCGATATTATAAGGTCAGTATCGATACCAAGGTTGAAAAGTGGGCTTTAAGTCAAGAGAAAATATAGAGGTAAGTGAGGTTTTCCAAAAGCGTATAATTTCTCTCAAATAAGACTACAAGTGAGAACATTTAATAATGTTTAATTCAAACGTAGAAACGAGAATAAAGTAGGGTGAAATAAGACTAGCCTTGTTTGAATGCTCGGGAAAATGACCAGGACACCTGAGTTCCTTTAGAAAAGATAATAGAGTCAAAAGTATAGATTCAGTCTGAATATCTTTAGGTAGTGCACAAGGCACTTTAAGCTGACTAGTTTGGGCGCAACGTCCGACACTCAAGAAGTGGGCTAGTCGAGAGTGCGGTGCCCGATACAAAGATTCTATGGGCCACATTATCGGTAGACTAGAGGGGTGTGTGAGCTCCGAGATACAGAACCCTCAATTGCACCATGATGTCTACCATAGAGTAGAGAGTGAGTATACGAGTACATTCACTAAAGTAAAGAAGAAAAAACATATCAGTAAACCAGATAGCAGTAGACCAGATAACAATAGATTATATAGCAGCAAACTTGATAGTTTGAGCATTTTAGTGATGAAGTTGTGAGATTTTGAATTTATAATAAAATATATTACTTATAAGCTACAATTGATGTAATTGTAAGACTTTGATGAAGTTGTGAGATTTTGAATTTATAATAAACTATAATAATTAATATGATTACTTTTTTAAATGTTAAAACAAATTATTAGTTATGATAGTTAAATTAATAAATTTACTTTCTTTATTAATTATAATATGTATATTATAAATCTTAATTATAATCATTAAATTAATTTCATTAAATTATTTATTTATTAAACATGATTTTATTAGATTATAAAATCAATTTAAATATTTATAAATTTAATTTATTTTTATGTAATATTTAATTAATAATTTAAATATAATTTAGCTCAAAATCTTAAAATATGTATACAAAATAAATTTACTTGAGATTGAAAATTTAAAATTTTAGAATTTATACATCAATTTAAAATAAACCGTATATATGTGTGTGTGTGTTGACATGAGTGGTTGTTTTTTGAGGGTATATATGTGTGTGTGTTGACATGAGTGGATGTTTTTTGAGGGGGGAAATTGGCGGGAGAATTTTTAAAAAAAAAAGATTTTGTTTTTTTTTTGGGAAAATTTGATTTTTTTAAGAAATTAAAATCCGAAATTATGGCACTTGCTTAATGTCCACAAAAATAGTTTGAGTTAATTAGGCCCTCCATCCTTCAACAATAAGATTTTTTCTATTTTATAACTTGGTTTTTTACTTCTTTCATTTCAGCCATGATTTAATCGTAAATATCTTCTTGAATTTTCAATTCAATGCTATTTAGTCCTATATACATTCTAATTAATTTTAATTTTCTCTTCTTTCTTTAATATGCATAATTATTAAATGTGAATGTTAATTTTAATTTTAGAATCAATACTTTATACTTATATGTTTATATATATACTTCTGTTATATACTTATATAAATATATACTTAAAATGTATGCATAAGTATAATGTACATTATGATATATATATATATGCATTATATTATCATAACATTCATCATACATATTATACATATTATATATGTGTGTGTGTGTATACACACACTTTATACGTTATAAATATAATATTTATATAATATACTTATACTTATATATAATTATATTTTTGTATCTAAAATTGACCCATACTTATTTATATTTTTGTAATTATTTCGACTTGATACCTCATCTATGCATGTTGTTTAATTTATTTAAATTTATGTTTGTAATTTCATGTTTGTACAATTTAGTCCTTAAAATTATATTTTTTTTATCAAAATTGACCCATAATTGTTTATATTTTTGTAATTTACTCTAAATCATATACAATTACAAATTACAATTCTACGTTCATGAAGGGCAAAACTAATTAACCCAAATATGACTCAACCAGAAGTCAAACTGTATCTAGATATATCCGACCTAAATTTTGTCTGTCAATGATGTGACTCAATTTGAATGAGATCTGACTGAAGTCAATCTGAAATTGAATTAACCTGGTATTCAACTGCTTTAGACCTGAACCGTTTTGACCTGAACTAACATCGATCTAAACTAAAATTAACCCGACCAGAATATGTTGTCAAATCAACATGAAAATAACCCGAACTGATTTGATCCAGCGACCTGATCCGAGTCGAACCATTAAATTGATCTAAGACAACATATATCTAATTTGACCTGACCTGACAGAATATGTCTAAAACCTGAA